AGAATATTTGGAACTCATCTTACTTCTGGAACTGATCCTTCTGCTCAATTTATCATTCACTAAGGATTTTTATTTAAGAATTCTAAACTTTGCATTACCAAAAATTATTTAAGAGAACTTATACAAGAACTTCATAATGGGGATTTGGGTGGGCATTTTGGACAAGAAAAAATTGTTGACTTGGTTGAGAAAAAATATTTCTGACCTCATATGAGAAGGCAAATTGCTAAGCAAATGAAACAATGTAAAATCTGTCAAGCTTTTAAGAGAACTTCTCAAAATGCTGGTTTATATAACTCCTCTTACAATTCCAAATAAGCCTTTGGAGGATATCTCTATGAATTTTGTTTTGGGGTTTCCTGTTACTGCTAGAAAGTTTGATTATATTTTTGTTGTTGTTGACCGATTTAGCAAAATGGCACACTTTATTCCATGCAAGAAAAATTCTAATGCATCATATATTGCTGACTTATTTTTTAAAGAAATTGTTCATGTTCATGATATTCCTCGCACGTTTACTTCTAATAGGGATACTAGATTTTTTAGTTATTTTTTGAGAACATTTTGGGCAAAATTAGAAACTACTCTTCAATTTAGTAGTGCATATCATCCACAAACCGATGGGCTAACTGAAGTTGTCAATCAAAGCTTAGGAAATTTATTGATATACATTGCTGGAGAAAAACCATCCCAATGGGATTTGATATTGCCCCAAACTGAGTTTGCATACAATAATTCTGTTAATCGCTCCACTGGTAAAACACCATTTGAGATTGTTTATGGTCAGCCTATACCTCACATTTTAGATAAAAATTATGTGCATTTGCCTAATAAAATTAGTGCTGAAGCTACTGAAACTTTTAACCATATCAAAACTGTCCAACAGCAAGTCATTGAAAAATTCCGAATGCCAATGTTAAATACAAATTTGCTGCTAACAAACATTGGAGAGAAGTTTATTTTAAGGAGGGAGATTTGGTTATGGATTACTTTCGTCGCCAACGATTTTCTGCTGGTACTTTTGGAAAATTAAGCAGGATGAAATTTGGGTATTTTCGTGTTTTACTAAAGTTGGGCACGAATGTCAATCTCTTGGATCTTCCTATTGCTGTTGGCACTTCTCCTATGTTTAATGTTTCTGACCTTTCTTTGTATGAAGGAAATTCTGATGATTATGTGGAAGTTAAAACTTTGTCACTCTTTACATCAGTTCCAAACAATGATGAATAGGTTGAAGATGTTATTGATGTTAGGATTACTAAAACTAGATATGGCAAACACAAGAGATTTTTGGCTAAATGGAAGAATCGTCCCTTAACAGACTGTACTTGGATAGATGCTAATGAGTTGAAAAATAGTCATCCGGATCTTTATCAGAAAACTATGGAGCCTTCTCATCAGGAGATGAGACTCCCACCAGGGGGGAATTGATGCATTCATGTTTTGGCTTATTTTTGTTTTGATGTAATTTGAATATTATTGTTGTGTTTTATATTTTTTTATGATATCCAATGATGGAAAACATCCAATGATCATGATAGGATGTTCTTGGGCATGGCAAGTCTTGGGTTTGCTAGCATTTTGGGTCCATTTGTTCTTTGGGTTGCTTGCAGCCTCTCGATTTGGGCCTTGATTGCTCTCGGGTTGGGCTTTGGATGCATTGGTTTTGAGCTGAAAACTTGAGATCTTCTTGGTGCTAGCTCATTAATGCATGAGCTGATGTTTAGCACATTTTTTGGAGTAATTGCACTTCTTAGCTCATAAATTTAAAAAGGTATTCTTCTTTTAGCTCATTATGTGGAGTGGAGCTTGCCTCTTCCCCTTCTTGTGTCCCCTCGGTTTTTCCCTTGTGTTGTTCCCATGACTAGTTGCTGGGTTTTGATTCCGGCCCCCTGTGTTGGCTTTTCGGGTTCCTCGGCTGCTTTCCCATGGTTGCTCCTACCCGAATTTTGTGTTGGCTTTTAGGTTTCTTCCCTGGTTGTTTTCCTGTGTCTTCCTCTACCCGATTCCTGTGTTGTCTTTGAGAGTAGTTTTGTGTTGATTGCTGGTCTTCCTCTTCCCCTTACCTGATTGGTTTGGTTGGAGGTGGAAGTTGGTTGTTTGGCTGCCCTTTCTCTCCTATATATATGAATTTGTTTTTGTCTTGAGAAGGTTGTTGATTAACATGAGATAAGTTGCTAAAAACCTGAGTTTCTTCTCTTGGAAAAGCTTGAGAGCTTGTCCACCTCTTCCTCCTCTTTATTTCGTCTTGGCTTCTAATCTCTTCTTCTCTATGCAAGTTCCACTCCACTTGTATCTAAGGGTGTAAATATTTGACACGACACGAAAACCCAACCCGGACCCGACCCGAAAAATCCGTGTTGGACCCGACCCGTTCGGGTTCACAGATTCGACTCATTTGAAAAAATGGGTCGGGTTCAGGTTGACCAGACGGGTTGCGGGTCGCGGTTCGGGTCGGGTCAACCCGGCAACCCGGCCGGGTCGGGTTCGGGTTGACCCGTTTAGATCCGGGTCAACTCGGGTTTGACCCGAACCCGACCCGTCGACCCGAATTGACACCCCTACTTGTATCCTTCTTCTTGAGTTATTGTGAGATGTTTGTTGGCTGATTTGGAGACATTTTTCGGAGGTGTTTGGTTGAACGTTGGACCTTACTAGCTGTGTTGGACCCATGGTTTGCAAGCCTAAGCACTTTATCATATTTTTCCTACTTCTCATTGCATGTGAGGAAACCGCTTGCCGGTTGTTCTGAGGATAGTATTTTTATTTTATAATTTTGTTTTGTTTGATTCGACTTTTCGTTTGTTTTTGTGTTTGTTTGTTTGCATACTAGATTGAATCGAGTTTGGTTTTCATTTGTCCTAGTGTTCTCCTATTTGACTTTTCTTTCTAGTTTGCCCGCATCAAAAAGTATGAATAATTATTGTGCGAGCATATCACTTAATGGTTACGGGGAAGATCTCACAAAGGATTGTATCTGAGGCATATTGTGCATGATAGTTCGATAGTGATCAATATACTCATAGAGATCAGAAGCATATTATATAGATCAATTTTAGGGATCTTAAACACCACTAAAATAGAATGATAAAGAATGATATCAACTAAGAGAAAAAACAATTTAAAACTAGAGCAAAAAAATGATTTCTATCCCTCAAAGGGAATTCCTCTTAAATAATACTTCATAGCATATATCTTATATCATCATGAGAGATGTTCATAAAACAATGTTGATTTAAATCATCCAAGACTGGTGAAGGATTACAAGTTGGTTGAATAGCATGAGGATGTATTCAACTAGTAATGTCTTAGAGATTTTGATAAGGCTATGGGGAAAAAGGTGCTCCTTGATTCACATTATCTCCATATTGTTGAAGATTTTGTGGTAGGAAAGCTCCATAAAACTGTGATGGGTCTCTTTGTTATCTAGCAATCTCTAAGATTTGTAGGATTTAAAGTTGAAGTTCTTCCATCTTATACAGATGTTCCTCCAAAATAAGACTTGGGGGGCCTTCACTACCTATGTTATGTTATCCATGATTGAATAATTGATTATTAACCATTGAGGGAATAATTATAGTATTGTGAAAATGTTTCCCAAAAATGGCACGAAACTGTTACATGCAAGAAAATTTATATTGGTAGAGTAGAAAATTTACATCTTGGCTTTGGACAAAACTTAACACGCACAGATAAAAAGTGATAGAAAGATAAAAAAAATTGTGTGAAAATATTGAAAATGAAAATAACCATGGGGCCTAGCTCAGTTGAAAAATTCACTATACGATAGAAGATACAAGAATTCTTCATTCCTCATAGTTGAAGATGTGGGATATTTGATAACAAAATATCTAATTTTCCTTTTGTAAGGATTACATAAGTCTGACGACAACAAGCGGACAATTGAAACCAGATAATGAGATTAGATCTTGATAGAAATCTGGAGATGATGGCAACAATTGTTGGTGGTGGTCATCGATGGTGACAACAACTGGCGGTGTTTGTCAGCGACAATAGCTGAAAAATGCTAAAGAGCTCTTTAGTTCTCTTGGAACAAGGCTCTATTTATAGGCTTTTTGAGATGGGTACTTTAATAATTTGAACAAGAATCTAAAATACTCCATCTTACGGTCCATATCAATTTTCTTGATCATAAAATATTTGTTCAACATTAAGTGGCTTAATGATGTCAAAATTGAATAATCTCGGGCTTGTTGGGTGTGTCTCGTCGAGCAACTCAATTCGGCTATAAGCATGTCAAATTTTGAGTTTAGATGATCATACTTTTAATTTCAACAGTTTTCAATTCAAATATTACCTCGAGAACCATGCAAATCATATGAATTTTCTAGAGTCATATCAACAATCATTTTCTCTTTTTGGTCATAAATGAGCCGGCTCAAAAGCCGTCTCGAACTCTAAAGATTATGCTTGAGCTCTAAGTTGATTAAATAATCAAGCTCAAACTCAAGCTAGGGGTGACTCTAGCTCAGCTCAACTCATTTGCAAAACTAAAGTTGGATTATTTTGGGGTTCATTTAGCTTAATATTCACATTATGGTTAGACTTCTCTCAATAATGATTGACTCAAAAATTTAAAACTTTAGGGCACACTCACTTCCAATACCATATTACCAATAAATACTTAAACAAAGAATCCTATCCTTATTACTAGGGTTCATGGTCTTGATTTTTCAAGGTTCTCTTGCAAGATGGAGTTTTAAAATAAAAATATTCAGTTATTAATTTCTTTAAAATGGGCAAGAAGCCATTAACTCCTGAAATTTAGCATGCAATAAGTATTTTGTAGGGAGGATGACGCATGCATTTTTATGGGTGTATATAGACCTAGATGAGTCATAGGATGCTTGAGGATAGAAAATGAATTAGGATGGATGGAGAAGCTGATATGACTGATTGCTCTGCATATCACGTAAACCAGGATGAATGAAGAAGCATTAAAAAAAAAGGATTCTCATAGGAAAACAGGTGAGAATTACCTGTGAAGCAATGAGGAGAATCGCCCAACCACAACCAAAGGCACTTTCATCAAAACTTCCACTCACGTTTTCGCAAAGAGATACAACCTTTACAATAATAGAAGCCATGAATGAGATATATAAAAGAATATCAACAATAATAAAGAGTAAAATAACCATGGCCGATTACATTGTTAAACAACTGAACAAAAGTACAAAATGCAGTAAATTGTAAAGATGAAAATAGTTCATGCAAAATATATTCAACAAAGAAACAATGAAAATAGTACACCAAGATGTCAGATGGCCATTTCCCAGAATTTCACAAAAATGCTTTTCATGTTTATTGCTATAAAATTCTCATCATATTAAAACTCATCAGATATCCATCTGAATTTCATAGTAAGTCCAAGAACAAAATATATGATAGCTTGAAATCTTATCCACTTCATTATCAAAGCTAAGTGTAATTGCATATAGCATATTGAAAACATAAATCATATAACCTTATCTCAACAACAATTACGACAGAGCTAACCAACAAATTTATCATATTTGATAGGCATTTACAAGATCCTATTTTTTTCAATATTAAACGATCTGAAAGGACTAATTATAATAAAAGCTAAAAATATCAATACAAACTATTTTCTTCTCAGAGCTAGACAATTTCCGATGTTCTTCTAAGACCAGCAGGAATATTAGAATCTATATCATATGTTTTCATATGGCAATATTATTATGTTATTGGCAGCTTAAAGTCAAGCACGTGGATCGGATCAAGCTGACACAAAAAATAGGACCTCACGATATAGCAATAATTTGAAAGAAAGGGAAACAAACAAAAAATGTTAACAGGAAAATGGGAATTACCTTGTTTGCAAAAATCAACATTGAAATTGGAAGAGGTAACGTAGGATCATTAATAAGTTGCACTAACGCATGCGCCTTTGCTCTGTGTTTAAAACAAAACAAAACAAAAAACCGTTTCAGCAAATAAATTTAGCAACTGTCCCATTACGAGTTTTAAATTCCAATGAATGACGAGACACTTTCCTTAACCCTAGGTTAATGTGTATTCGTAGAAGTCCCAAGTTTTGAAGGATACATTAACAATGCCATCAAAGTTAATTAGTAGTTGGGATCAAATACGTGGATCTTTCAACATGCATTCCAAACAAAAGATACAGTTGAGAGTGATTTGTGAGAAATTAAGTATTCCTTAATCAGGTCTACTAACAACTTTAACAGATTATAATGTCACTATATGAAGCTGGATTTCATAGTTATAGCTCAAGTTATCTGAAAGTCTCAAATTTGAAAAATGGAAACCTATCTGCAAAATATAAGGTTAAAGCTAAAAAATCCCAGACCCTTCTTTGGCATGATCTTTATGTACTGGATGTTTTACTAACAGCTCAAGCATAGGATGGATTCCCAACTAAAACCATTTTTTTCTGTTAGGTTTGAAATGGATGCCTAGAAATTGAAAATGAAATTCACAATACAAAACTTAATCTATGTGAGAATGGCTTTGATAAAAAACACTCAAGTCAAAAAAAGCCCGAAGCACCTTTATAATTCTGTTAGACTGGTCCAGCCAGTCTAGGCGTTATTGGAGGCGGAATAGGAGTTCCATCCCCGTGATTTTCTCCCCTCCTCCAGCCGGTTTTTATGAAGGATTTAACGTAGTTTAGGAGGTAAAATTCAAATCATGGCTGTTTAGGGATTTCTTTTTTTATTGCAAGTTTTAAGGAGGAAATTTTCTAGGGCTGGGGATATCATGTGTTTGTTGAAATTTGAAGTGTTCTTAGGGAGAAGTTCTGAGCTCTAGCAGCCGGCTAGAGAATTGGGAGAGCCAGATCCTCCTCTCCAATTGAGGATCCATTGTATCTTGTTTAATTTCTTCCCTATTTCATCAATTAGAAAGAGTTTTCTTCCGTCATTTCTCTTAAATTCGTCTTGGATATTGTATTTGGATTGCTGTAATTTAATTTCAGCCAATGGGAAGTAGATTTCAGCATTCATTTTCTAACAAATTGGTATCAGAGCGGTGTCTGGAGCTAAATTGGAGGCCTTCTTTGCTGATTTAAGGGCATATTTACTGTTTTTATTGCTGGCCAAGATCCACGTACCTATGGCAGCCAAGAAGTTGGATGCTTTGGAAGAATGTCTTGAAAGAGAGATGAGCCAAATCAAAGCAACAGTGGACAGAATTTCCTCAATAGAAGATAAGTTCTCCAACCTAGAAGAGATGGTGAAGAAGGTGTTGGATCTTCACAACCAAATGGCAGCTTCAGAGACAAAAGTGTCGGTAGGAGGAAATACACATTCTAGCAATCGTATGGTTGATCATGATGCGGAGATATTAGAGGGAGAAGAAAGAAGACCTTCTCTAGAGCCTATTCATATGGAGGAGATAGGTATAAGGTATGGGGAGAGGCATGAATATGTCAAGTACGAGCGAAGGGGTGCTGAGTTTGAAAGAAGAGAGGTTGAGTATGACCGGAGAGGTGCTGATTTTGAAAGGAGGGGGGAACTTGATAAAGGTTTTGGGTACGGGCATGGAAGGGAGGATCGGGATACTTGGGAGAAGAGAAAATTATGGAAGAATCAAGAGAAATGAAGGAGATCCAAGGATAAGCAAGCTGAAAATGCTCATCTTTGAGGGAGAATATGCACATTGGTGGATCAATAAGGTGTAGAGATATTTCGCCTTCAAATGTATTGACGGAGGAGGAGAGATTGACAGCACCCAATCTATGTTTAGAGAGGAATGCATTGGCCTGGTACCAATGGACAGACATGAGATGGCCCATACAGAACTGGAGGGAATTCAATGACTACTTGTTGAAACATCTCTGAACCAGCAAGGGAGGAGACTTGCATGAGCAATTTTTTCCCTAATGCAGGAAGGCTTGGTGGCAGAGTACTGTGAGAGATTTGAGTATCTTGCTAACCGACTAGACTGACTTTCTGAGACTGTGCTAGAGGGAAACTTCATGAAAGAGCTCAAACTAGAAATCTAAGTGGCAGTTAGAGTGATGACGCCTTGTGACTTGAGAGACGCTATGAAGCCAGCACAGTTAATGGACTAGAAGCACCTAGATAAGGGCGCCAGAGGTAGCAGCTCCGGAGGTTCGTATAGGATGACCACAACTTTTTTAGCACCAAAGGGGGAGACAATAAGTAGCATTCGAGAGACCCCAAAGGAGAAGTCTGTAGGAGGGAGAATCTGGGATCTTTCAAGAAGCTCACTGAAAAGGAACCACAGGAAAAGAGGGCTAAGCGATAGTGCTTCAAACGTGATGAGAGGTACACTAGGGCACAGGTGTAAGAACCAAACTCTTTAGGTTCTAACTATTTGCAGTGATGAGGAAGCTAAAGAGGTAGGTGAGAGTGAGGCATTAGTAGAGGAGGAAAAGCTGCATCTGGATATGATGGAGGACTCCTTGAACTCAGTGACGGGATTCACTCCAAATCACACCATGAAAGTGAAGGGGGAAATAGTAGACCAAGAGGTGTTGGTGTTGATAGTTAGTGGGGCAAATAATTTTTTTATTTTTCAATCAGGTGGTAGACCATTGGGCATGAAATTGGAGGACACATAGTGTTATTGAGTGATGATGGGCACTATGAAGGTGAAGATGGGTAAAGGAATGTGTAGGAGAGTGATTTTGACCATACAAAGTGTCCAAATGAGAGAAGACTTCATTTCATTGGAGTTGGAGATCACTAATGTCATCCTAAGGATGAAATGATTATAGACCTTGGGGGATACCAAGGTTAATTGGGAAGCACTAACGATGGAGCTGGTGGTAGAGGGAAGAAGGGTGATGACTAGGTATGATGCAAGGTTATCTAAAGCCATGATGTCACTCAAAATCATGGTGAGGACCATACAAGAGGTGGGAAAAGAATTTTTGGTGGAGCTGTAGAGCTTAAAGAGGATCAAATTAGAGAAGGGGGAAGACATACCTCCTTTAGTACAACCTCTTATACAACAATTCAGTGAGGGCATTCAGCCACCTCAAGGATTTCCACCAACAAGGGAGCAAGAGCACGCTATCATCTTGAGGGAGAAAGTGTCACCAATTAGTGTCAATCCATACTACTACCCTCAGATTCAGAAGAATGAGATTGAGAAACTGATTAAAGAGATGTTGGAGACAAAGATTATCAGTTCGAATGTGAGTCCTTTTTCTAGCCCACTCTTACTGATCAAGAAAAAGGATGGAAGCTAGAGATTTTGTGTTGACTATTGAGCCTTAAACAAGAAAATTATGCTAGACAAGTTTCCCACTCTGGTGATAAATGAGCTGTTGGATGAGCTGTGTGGAGCATTGGTGTTCACAAAGATGGATATGAAGTCTGGCTACCATCAGAATAAGATGAGAGAGAGGATGTTCCGAAAATCGCATTCAGAACTCATGAGGGTCACTACGAGTCATGAGGGTCACTACAAGTTTCTAATGATGCCTTTTGGCCTCACCAACGCCCCTGCTACATTCCAATTCCTCATGAACATGGTATTTTGACCATACCTCAGGAGGTTTGTATTAGTTTTCTTTGATGACATCCTTGTGTACAGCAGACCAGACAAGGAGCATTTGGAGCACTTGAGGGTGATCTTAAAAGTGTTACAGAGCACCAGCTGAGGGCCAACCTGAAAAAGAATTATTTTGCACATGCCAGTATTGATTACTTGGGGCACGTGATATCTCAAGAGGTGGCCGCTGATTAGACAAAGATTGAGTAAATGTTGAAATGGCCTCTACTTAAGAAACTAAGGGAGCTGGTGAGTTTCCTAGAATTGACTAGATACTACAAATGATTTGTGAGGGGATATAACACCATAGCCTGACCATTGATAGAGCAGTTAAATAAATGATAGCTTCTTGTAGGGAGAGGCGGCTACACAGATCTTTGCGAGATTAGAGAAGACTATGACCACTATATCGATCCTAGTTCAACCAAATTTCAGGCAGATTTTCATGGTAGAGACTGATGCATCGGGGTATGGATTAGGAGAAATGCTCATTCAGAATCACAAGCCCATAGCTTACTTCAGCCAAGTGTTGATAGCTAGAGCTAGGCTGAAGTCAGTTTACGAGGAGTTGATGTGATTGTGTAGGCTATTCAGAAGTGGCAACCTTACTTATTGGGTTGACATTTAATCGTCAGGATAGACCGGAGGAGCTTGAAGTACCTATTAGAGAAAAGAATGGTTATCGAGGAGATTCAAAGATGGTTGCCAAAGTTGTTGGACTATGACTTTGAGATCCATTATAGGTCAGAATTATAGAACAAGGCAGTTGATGACTTATCCATATGTGTGAGAGAGCATGAGGAGTTAGCCGTGTCGATACCATTGATGCTTGATTGGGGGGCTATTAAAGAGGAGAGCGTACATGATGAGAAGCTGAGAAGGATCAGAACAAATCTACTGAAGGATGAGAATAGCCACCTTGGCAATTCCCTAGAGAGGGAGAAACTACAGTACCAGGGGAGATTTGTGTTGCCTTAGACCTCAGTCCATAATCCACATCTGTTGTACATGATATTGAAATCATAGTTGTATTAGAAGGGGATGCAAACATATGTGAAAGAGATGGTGGCTAGATGTGAGGTATACCAACGAAACAAGTACATGATCATGGCTCCATGAGGGTTACTTCAACCCCTAGCTCTACCAAATAGGGTGTGGGAGGAGGCCACCATGGACTTTATAGATGGTTTACTCCAATCTGAGGGGTTTACACTGATTTTGATGGTAGTTGACAGGTTGAGCAAGTATGCCCACTTCATTCCCATATGGCATTCCTACACAATAGTGATAGTGGCAACACCATTCATCAGAGAGGTGTTCAAACTGCACGGCATATCGAAGTTTATAGTGTCCGACCGAGATAAGATATTCCTTTGTCACTTTTGGAGTTGTTGAAGCTACAGGGTACAATACTGATGTAGTAAAAAATTTACATTTTATATTTTATTTATATTTTTGTGTGGGTTATTGGACGCTTTGTATTTTATTTGTGTTGTCTAATGATGGAAAACAACTAATGATCATACTGGGTGCGATGCTCTCCGGTTGGTTCACGCAATTGTCCTTCCATTTGAGTCAATTTTACTTCCGTTCTCCTTGGTGGACGATTTGGTGATTATCTATGGGTTGTTTTTAACTAGGCTTGGCTCATTTCTTTCTTTAGTTGATTGGTTGTTCGATTTTCCCTGCTAATTGTTTGGCTTCCTTGCTGGTTGCACGGTTTTCCCTGTAGTTGTTCAGTTTCCCTGTTGTCTGCTCGATTTCATTGTTGATGGCTGCTCGACTTTTCCCCTTGTTAATTCTTGTGCAGGTTACCTTGGCTTCTTCAAGTGAGGGCTGATTTAAGTGGTTCTTATTGGCTATTTTGAAGACACATTTGTGTGAGCAAATTATTGCTCTTTCCCCCTATATATGGTAGCTGAATTTCTATGGTAGGGGTTATTAAAGGAAAAACAAAAAAGCCTGAGGGTTTCTTAACTTGCAAGTTGTCTTCTTCTTAATCCATATTTCTTCCTCTCGTACTTCATTCTACTTCTTCCCTCCATGGTTACCCTTCCAATAGTATCTTTCTTCTTTAAGGAAATTGAGTGGTAAGGTCTTGTGCCCTGTTTTGTTGGTATTTGCCAGAAGAGCGTCGACTTGCACTGGATCATAATTTCAATAGTGGATCAATGATTTGTCCTTTCCTTTGGGCACCTTTTCCTATTTTATGATGTGCATGTGAGGTGACCGCTCGTGACTATTCTGAGGGTATTATAATTTATATATTTTGCTTCTTTTATTTTCTTGTGTGACTTCCTAACCATTTTCCTACATTTGATTTTCTATTAAGTTTTCATCATTTGGTGTTTGTTTATGTGATAGTGAAAGGAGGAGTCTTTCTGCATGCCTAGTGTTCTCCTACTTGATTTTAGAACTTAAGTTGCATCAAGTACTTAAGAGTAGCATCGCTTACCCCTCTCAGACAAATGGGCAAGATGGAGGTGGTTAACAAGAGTGTGGAGACTTACATGCGATGTTTCTCTTCAAAGATACCTCGATTGTAAGCCAAGAGGCTATCACGGGCAAAGTACTAGTACAACACTTCGTATCATTCAGTTCCCAGATGACTCCTTTTAAAGTGTTGTGAGGAAGAGATCCACCCCACTTGGTGCATTTTGGGCAGAGAAGCACACCAATTTCTTCAATGAAATAGTACTTGCAAGAGAATTATTGGGTGCTGGAGAAATTAAAAAGGAACTAGTTAAGGGCTTAGCAGATCATGAAGAAGCAGACAAATAAGCATAGGAAGGACATTCAGTTTGAGACGAGGGATAACATATATTTAAAGCTTCATCCTTACAAACAAAGGACAGTCGCTAACAAGAGAAATAAGAAGCTGGCACCGAGATACATTGGCCCTTATGAGATATTGGAGAGGATTGAAGCTATGGCTTACCATTTGAGGTTATCCTTGACCACTACCATACACACAGTGTTCCACATTTCACAGTTCACGAGAGCTATTAAGGATCATGCTACTAGCTCAGAGCTACTCGAGACACTGACTGAGGACTTAGAAGTAGTGTTGGAACCCCTGGAGCTAAAAGAGGCATGACAAAGAGGTGGGCTCAAGGAAGTGCTCATAAAGTGGAAGACCCTACCCGAATATAACGCCACATGGGAGTCGTACAAGAGAGTGAAGTATTAGTTTTCATCCTTCCACCTTGAGGATAAGGTGGGTTTTTGGGAGTTGAGTTATTGTTAGACCGATCAATAGACTAGTCTATCTGGTCCATCCTGGACCGGCTCATTTTTATCGAAAGCGGAACAGGAGTTCCGCCCCGTGAGTTCTGCCCCTCCTCTAGTAGGTTTTTATGAAGGATTTAATGTGGTTTATATGTGAAAATTCAAAGAAGGGGATATTTAGGAATTTCTTTTTTATTGTATGCTTTAAGGAGGAAAATTTCCTATGGTTGGGGATATATTGTTATTGCTAAAATGGACAATGTTCTTAGGGAGTTTTGGGCTCTAACTGCCAGCTAGAGAATTGGGAGAGTTGGATCCTCCTCTCCAATTGAGGATCCATTATTTTTTTTTTCTTTCCTATTTCATCAATTAAAAAGAGTTTTCTTCCGTTATTTCTCTTAAATTCATAATGTAGATTATATTTAGATTGTTGTAATTTAATTTCAGACAAGGGAAAGTGGATTTCAACATCCATTTCTTAGCAAATTCAAATAAGACTATTTCCCAACTGCAATGAACTAATCTACTCTGCTTAGATAAATAGTATAGTAAAAGTAGATCCATATAACCTCCACACCATCCTTTACATGAAAAACTTTTTGAATTTACTCATCAATTTTTCTATTTTGATCCAAGGCTTCCCTCACCTAACTTTATCAGATCACACAGTATGTTGTGCAGAAGTAAAGTATCAAATTCACCACATAATACATAATATATTTGAGAAATGGCTTTGATCAAGAATACACGAGTCGAGAAAAGCGCTATTCGTGTGATTAAAAAATTAGGTGCTAATGCCTATTTGCTAGATTTACCAGATACTGTTGGCACTTCACCTGTTTTTAATGTTTCTGACCTGTCTTTGTATGAAGGAGATTCTGACGATTTTGTAGATATTGAAACTTTACCACTCTCTGCTCCTTTGGTAAAGTCTGAAGATCAAATCGAAGATGTTATTGATGTGAAGGTTATTCAAACGAGGCATGGAGAGCACAAAAAGTTTTTGGTCAAATGGAGCAATCGGCCAATGATTGACTGTACATGGATTGATGCTGCTAATCTAAAAAAGAAAAACTTGGAGCTTTATGAACGAGTTGTTGATACGTTCTCATCAGGAAATGAGATTTTTCCACCAGGGGAGAATTGATGCTATCAAAAATTTATGTACTTTTTATTTTATTTGAACAATAGTATATTTTGTTTTCTTTTCTTTTTTAGCTATCCAATGATGGGAAAGCATCCAATGATCATGGTAGGTAGTGCATATGGCTTGGTAGACCTTTGGTTTGCTGGCTCGATTGGTCCCTAGCTGCTAGTGGTTCACGGGTTGGTTGTTTTGGAGCATTCGATTTTGAGCTTGTTCTCTAAGTTGCTTGAGCTGAAGTTTAGTAGCTCTTTAATTCTCAAAAGGTACCTCATTATGAAGTTATTGACCTCATTTTTGTATGAGGTCACTAAGGCCCTTCCAAACTTCAGATCAATTCAAGACCTTAGGGCCTACTCTAGACCTTAAGATCCTTTCCTAGAGCCAGATCCTAGGATCCACTCTAGACCTTAGCTTGCTTTTAAAATGGAGGCTGAATTCAAAGCATTTGAATTTATAACTGAATGCTTTGGGGGTCCATCCGGTCTCAGATTTCGGAACAGGGATGTATTTTCCCGTGATTTTGCTGCTTTGAATTCGGCCTGCTTGCTGGCTCCTTGGTGCCGTGAGTTACCTATGATTCCTGTAACTATTCCTTCAGAATTAATGCTGGCTGTTTTCCGAAAACTATGGCTTTGCTGCTTTGCATTATCGGCCTGCTGATTGCCTCCTTGGTTCCTGGTTTGGGTGTTTATCCGTGAACTTTGGGGGAAGTTTTCTATGCCTATTATGCTTCGGTTCTAATGGAAATTAAAGTCATGTGACTCTTGGCATTCCTCTCTTTTGCTTATATATATGAGAAGATGTTATGAAGAAAAGACAGTTGATATTTGTGAGCATATTTGCTATTAACCTGCGGGTTTATTCGAAAATCATGCGGGCTCTTTCCAACCTTCTTTTCTCATCCCCCTCCGGAAATCCTGCGGGCTCTTTCCACCCTTTCTTCTCGGGATTCTAATCTCTCCGTCACTCCACAAGTGCCACTCCATCTGTATCCTTCTTCTCAACAGTGAAGCAACTTTAGGGTGTCGTATCTAGGTTGATTTGGAAGCATTTGGGACAGTCTTGCAGTGGTGGACCATCGGTTTGCTAGTTCTATGCACTTTAATTATTTAACCTATAAATTCGATGCATGTGAGGAACCCGCTCTGACAGTTGTCTGAGGATAGCATTTTTTTTTATTTCTTTAAAATCTCCTAGCATCTTTTGTTCTGTTTGTCTAGTTTTGGGTCGTTAGCGTTTATTTAATAAAATTTGTTTTAAGTTCTACTCATTGTGTCAGATTTCTTCTTGTGTGTCTATTGTGTTCAAGAGATATAGGCTCCCTATATCCCTTGTCTACATCAAAAATTGGTAGTAAAAGGAGATTCATATAACCTCTACACCTTCCGTTACATTAAAAACATTTTCAATTTATTCATAAATATTCCATTTTGTTCCATGGTTTATCTCAGCTAACTTTTTCAGATTGCACAGTATCTTGCGCAGGAGTAAAGTGTCAATATTGATATAACTAACTCCTTTTGTTATTGTAATATTACATCCATTCTATTCAAATCCACATCCTAATAAGCCATGGAACTTTATAATCGAGGCACAAAAACCTGAAAAGTCGTACAAATGTATAGTTCAATGGGAAGGATAATAAATTGGATATACAAACTAAAACTGTAGCAAAAAATAGAATTGGTGTGAGACAAACCTGACATTTTCCACAGTGCCTCCTACTTGCTTAATATATTTGTACATCTGCCTTCCATGTTTATCAAGATTCTAAGAAAAAAAATACAAATAGTTAAATAGAGTAGCTACGTCAGTTGACAGAAGAAGTGTGATTTTTGGAAGAAAAAAAAAAGCAACACTTAGAATTTGCATGCAAAACCAGAAACTTTAAAGTTCAGAGGTGAATGGAGAATACTTCAGAAATAAGGGATTGCGCAGCATAATGTGTTCAAAGCCAGCATGCATTGCACACTAAGTAAAGCAAGCTTCTATGGTACTACAACTTAATCTAGAAAAAATGAAACCCCAAAATAAATTCAGGGAATATATCAGGACAATAGATACTTTTTGTTTTTGGCAAACTTTTCAATTTTCTTTTTTTCTTCTTTTGGTGCAAAATTCACAATGTTCAAATAGTATAATAAATGATAACCTTCTGAACAACAACATTGATCTTTCCAGCAACTCCATTGTATATTGCAAGGCGGGTAGACTCAGCATTAAGTGCAGCTTTAGAAGCAATAATCCTGATGCCTGTCAAAAAAATTTATTTGTAGATTGAGTTACATTTAAGCAGTAGAATACTTCCTCTTTTTCAACCATATGTTCTTGGTAACGCCAAACCTAGTTGCTTAGTAACAGAGTCTCCTTTCTTAGTGCTTCTTAGTGGTTGAGTATTTTCTTCTCCTTTTGGTTCTCTAAATTCCTTTTTAGAAGCATCCTCAGCAGCAGTCTCTGGTAGTCTAGCAGCTTTTTTTTCTGCAGCCTCTTTAGCTTCTCTTCTTTCGGCTTCCAAGGCTGCTTTTTGTGCTTCAGCTTGTTTAATAGCTTTCAATCTAACCTGTAAAAAATATCCAGAGAAGGCACTTAAAGCAATCTTTAGGTAGAGAACAACATAATGTAAAAAGAAAAAAAAGTTGACAACTGGAAAACAACATAAAGCTTCCATTTATTCTAGGAAATAGGAATTGCAATAATGATTGTATGATACTATATACAAAACAACCAAATTAACATTTTAATGACAGAAAAAAAAAAAGTTCAGGTGATGACAGAGTATAAAATCTATCAGGTACTCTAAACACTTCTTTAGGGAAGGAAAACTGTTGTTGCATCCAAAACAAACTAGGACATGGGGCAAAGCAGTACAAAGCCAAAGATGAAGCTATGGCATGCAAGTCTAGATGTCATAGCTCTCTTGATATATTTCCTATATACCCTCACAAATGAAGTATCTTATATTACAAACCAACTTTTTTTAGTATTTGCCAAATTTATAATTATTTTATAAAGAGGGCTAACAAGAAAAAGGAAATGTATGTTCTTAAGAACTTCAAGCAATATATTGCTTTGACGGTGTTGAATCACTACTTTTAAGTTCCAGTTTCTAAATATATGGAGGACAAGCTTATGATCTACCCACACTCCAGAAAATATACAGCATAAATGATGAGAAGAACCTTCAGCATAATCTAGTAAGTAGATCGCCCAAGAATCTAGTTCGCAAAAGCTTAATGTCATAGCAAATATGAATCAATTGGGAAACATTATGTTATAGAGTAAGAACCTCAACAAGAAAAAACCTAGCTGCAGCATACTGGTGTTGGGCTTCCATCATAACAGCCATATTCGTATTATGTACACTTAGTGACTAAAGGCAGCAGTGCTTAACCAATTCATCTGACGCCAAAGCAAAAACAAATAGAAAAATCGCCTCTCATGATGTTATGTTACTCATGAATATTCTCAAAATCCAGTTATACAGTAGTCCTACATAGTTCAGTCCAAATGACATAATCATAGATTACATTCCTGAACCTATTATGAAACTTCTAGCACATACCAGCATGTATAATGGTCCTGTTTTCCTACTATACCTGCAAAACACAACTTAAACACTTCAGTCACATGTTAAACTGCTTCAGATTACTGTCCCGTACTATCATCTACATCCATTTCATCTTTTCAAAAGCTAACACTATGATCCAGGAGAATCTTAAAAAGAAATTGCAGAATCAACTTTGAATCATAAAATTAAAAAAATGGACTGAGGGCCAAATTGCAAAAATTTTCAATTTAAAATTCAATAAAAATGATTGGCTGCCAGGATAAAGAGAGAGATTTGTCTGGACAAAATCAAGAAAACTATCTTCAAATCACTCTACAGAATCATCCTCCTTATTTTAAGTGGCCAACCAACTTTATTGGAGCAAAATAAGCAATCTTCCTATTACTAATCAATGATTATGTTCATTTTCATGCTTAAGCATTTTGATATGCATGTGACAGATCCATTAGCTTAATTAATTTTCAAGACTATCAATAATTTAAATGAATGTATGGATATTAAGGAAAAGGTTTACTAGATTGGAGCCAATTTGGATTGGCTCATATTTTTCATGCTATAAGTGATCCAAATTAATTCCTCCTCAATATCTTTATCTCTCCCTTTCCATAAAAAGCTAGGCCTTCAATAGAAATGTTTTCTCTCTCCTCCCATGGTACGCCATCCAAGATACAGGAAATCCTAGGGCAAGGGTTTCCAAGCAACAGTATGCCAGCTCCTTCCTCTCTTTTCTCAAGCATTGCAGGCCTCACTACCATCTTATAGAATTTTCCCTTAAGTTTGAGGGGTACTTTTCTATCACACAACAAGCCCGATGCATTCCTCCACTTCAACCATCCAACTTGAATTATGCTGATAATATCTCCATCAATTTCATCATCACTCTGAATAATAGATCCAATATATCTAAAACATGTACTCTTATTAATGACTTGATCGTCCAAAGTCACAATCCCCTCACTAGGTCTATTACTACTAAAATTACACTCCATATATTACGTTTTATATCTACTCAAGCGAAAACCTTTAGCTCTAATGTTGACCTCCATAATTCAAGTTTACTTTCAACTCCCTCTCTAGTCTTATCAACAAGAAGAATATCATCAGCAAAAAGCATACACCAAGGTACATCCTCTTGCAAATGTCTAGTGAGAACATCCATGACTAAAGCAAAAAGATATGGGCTTAAGGCTGATCCTTGATGTAACCCAACCGAAATAAAGAAATACTTGGTCAAACCACCTTGTGTTTGAACACAAGTAATAGCTCTTGCATACATATCTTTAATGATTTGAATATAAGCATTATTAACTCCTTTCTTTTCAAGAACTCTCCATAGCACTTCTCTTGGAACTTTATCATATGCTTTTTCTAAATCAATAAAAACCATATGTAGATCCTCCTTATTTTCTCAATAAAACTATAAATTTCACATGCTATCAAAAAATTATTAACCTCATGAGAGTAAATATACCTTTCTGACATAAGAATGAAATATTGATAATCAGTAGAAATCATTATAACTCTAGAGGGGAGACAAAATAGAGTGATAATTCTTCCTTCCACACTGGAAGTCAATTTCTTTCATATCTTTCGATGATTTTTTTTTCTTTTTTGGCCTCAATAGTCAACTTAATTTTATCAAATATTATTAGGATGTTGATAATAGGGTAGTTATTTCTAACTTAGTTAGCTAGGCTTATTTCTTCTACTTAATAGGTTATTAATTCTTTGGCTTCCTGGTAGTTGAGTGCATGGACAAAGTAGGTCGGAGATCATCCATGACTGTTGTTGATTTCATAAGTTAAGTTTTTGCTCAATTATTAGCCATTGATCTCATATCATCTTTAGCCACTTCTAACTTAAAACTATACATTTTTACTTCATACTAGCTATGTTTGGCTTCATAATAGCTATTTTTTAATCCTTGCCAGCTAATATACTAGTTTATATGAAGCATTACCAACTATATATGGCTTTTGAATAATATTCTTCTGATATTTCAGTAAAAAATTCAAGCAAATCACATCACGCCTGCTCATGTGGTCAATGTATGCAACCTAAGTGCACTATAGATAAATAGTTTTCAAATTCAAATCATGCCCTTTCGAATAAAAATGAAGCAAACTAAACATTGCTCGATGTCACTCGATAAAACCCACTGAAAACATATCCCAAAAATAATCTCATTATGCTTTTTTTTTTCATCTTCATGTCACTCGTTATAACCTAATCTCACCATTTTGACACTACAGGTACTCCTAAGCTATGCATTTAATAATAAAAAAAATGCTTTAATATTTTCATATATATGTTAGTAGTTTTGGTTATCGCAAATGCTTAATATCCAATAACACCCTAAGCATCACCTTTCATATATTTCTAAGATACAATAAATCATGTCCATATCTTCATTGGTATTCATGTTTAACTTTTAAAATGAAAAGAAAATCTATTAAATATCACCGTGGAGGTTATATCGTTTGCTCTTATATTAAGCGCACTATAATATGATTTTATTGTTTTATTGTCGGGAGATTTACATACCTAGCAATCAAAACTTTCTTATTTACATATTTAACACCTAATCTTCAGTATTTACTTATATAACACCCAAAATAAATTTAATACATTAAAACTAATACATTGGCATGCTATTTGTCATGAATTCTCAGCGAGATTCATCACGACTTCCCGACAGATTTTGCCAAGCTGCTAACTTCCATTAAAAAAATGTTATATTATGTAAATAATGAAATTTAGGAGTTAAATATTTAAATAAAATAATTTTGAGTGCTATGTATGTAAATTCACCATTAGTATTTTAGCCAATATTGCAATTAGCTCATAATTTCTTATGAGCTTAATATATGATTATATTTTTTTCTATCCAACATTCAAGTCAACTTCAATGACTTCTGTTAATGTTTGTTGAAGCCCCTGAAGCACTCTCACATGACCCTCCAATGTATTTTTATTACAAAAACAACTTATTATAATACATGAAAAGTTGCACTTTCTCCTGCATCGTTGTAGCTTTTGTGAAGTCTAGTTGGTCCAACCTCCCATGCATCAACAAGGTTGTACAAAGACCTAAAGACTAAATGATCAAGTCAATGGTTCTCCAACTTTTGAGTGATATTCTTATATACACTCTTAACACCACTACTTAGTCACAAATTTATTAGAGGTCACAACTTTGCAATGTCACCATCTTCGCATTAAGATATGGTAGATAGCCACCAACCAATTATTATAAATTTGCAGGGGAGGAGAAAGAACAAACACATGGAGAGTGAACACATCAGCAACTCTTCATAACAATCCATGCACTTCAGGATAAGAATAATAAAGAATAATATAAACAAAAGATTTAGTGGAATTGATGCAGCAACAAATTAGTCACCAAAGAGACAAATCACCAAAGAGAGCCATGAAAGTGAACATGCACATGGAGGCTGATTACTAGTAAGTGATGGAAGTTGAAACAGTCTAAGGGAGAGAAAATTGGCCAATACAAAATTCAAAATGTTATGTTCTAGAAAATTTTGGTTTCAAACCCTTCACGAAAAACCAAGATTTATTTCATAAAATATTTATAATCAACAACCACAGTTCCTAATAAAAGATACTGTAACAGATTAAAAGATATAGAGAATGGCAACACCCAAGAGAGGGCTGAATTGGTATTTTGCTCTTTTTCTTTTACTTAACAAATAAAAAAAGTAAGATTTTAAAGTACTAAAATATTAAAAGTAGCAAGAAAAATAAATTTAATTTTTTTATACTAAAGAGTAAACGAAATGTAAAGCAAATGCTGCGACAAGTTTAAAGATAAATATAGCAATGTTATTTGACTAGATCTCACAATACAATTATCACCAACTAAGAATAGATTTAGAGATTTATGCAAGCTACAAAATTATCATCCATCACAAGTTCATCTATTGAACAAAAGTAACGAAACCCACTAAGGATAAATATCGATGCAAGAAAGTGAAGATAATAAAAAAAAAATATTATGCGGATTAATCTTTATGTGGTTTGACACTAACGCCTAAGTTCATGCCCTAAGACCTCTAACACTAAGTTCCACAAATCTCTCCTTCAATCGCCATTTAGCGGAGAAACCCTCACCTTGTTGGGGGGTTAATGGAGAAGCTCTACAGACTCTTCTATTCCAAGCAAGGATACTACTATTCTAGCCCACAAACTAACCAAAAACATACTAAAGAAAGCATTGAGATATCACTGATCCATTAAAATCTTTAGTACAACATGCTCTCAACAAGCCATATAACGTAACTAGAGGATTAAGGTGAAAGGGAAAAGAAAAACAACAATAACAAGTGCACTCTCACAATGAGATCATATGTATTTCAGTTTTCAAATCAAAAGAAAAAATCTCTCTCAAAATAACTCATCTCTTTTACTTTCTCTCAAGTTTTTTAAGCTCTTTCGGATTTCTAGGATTTTATATTAGAATTTATATCACATGTAAAAAAATCAAACCCTAAAACTAACGATTTTGAAACTACGGGCACGTCGTACAATATGATGCAGACATCATATAGTATAATTAGTTCAAGGGGGTTCCATGAAAATCATGTTCTGTATGATCGACCTATATGATGTATAGTGCAATAAAATTAATTCGACCTAATACACATTAACTATCACAACTTAACTAGATTAAATTAGGAACTACGTCATACAATATAGTTTAAATTATAAATTAATAAAATTAAGGAAAAGATGTATTATGATTTAAATTTGAAACTAAACATGATGGTACAATATGATATATATCATACAATAAAATGAGTTGAGAATTCCTTAATTAACACAAATCAATCCTATCCGGAATGTCTCATTGCAAGGCACATCATTTAATACAATTTATATAATAAATTTGTATTAATTAAAAATTTAAAAATATTTTTTATTGATTTCACTCGTCCTTAGGTGGATGAGTGGCTTTAAACTTAGAGATAGAATGCAAAGTGATTATATACGTGAAAAGGTTGGAGTAACTATAGTGATTATATGGTTTTGTCACATAAAACATCGGCATTCCAATGATCTTAATAAGAGAGTAGATGTAGCCTATGTTAAGAAAGGTAGAGGTATACCTAAAAAGACTTAGTTAGAAAATATTAAAAATGATTTTTAATTTTAAATTTAAAAGAAAAATTAACTCTTAATAGGGCATAATAGAGAAAAAGGATTCATGTAGCCAACCCCATAAAATGGGATAAAGGCTTGTTGATGTTATTGTTTTTGTTGATGATGATTTCACTCATGTGTGTATGTTGGTTATTTCACAAGTCACTTTATCTTGAACGCGTGCGCGCGTGCACACATATATATTCAAAATAAAGAAAAAAATTCAACACTTAAACATGACTATTGTAGCTCTCGTCTAGATTATCTCTAACCAATCTTGAAACTCCAAGTTGAGTATTTTCTGCTAGACATATGGTCATTGTTCAAGTCGTCGTATGTTTTAGATTTCATATTAAACATATATCTAAACTCTTTCATGTACATTTGTTGTTTGTTAGTACTAAACATGCACAAAGATGGATCAGTCCAAAAGAAATAATATCAACCAAATTATATTTGTGATCTTCAAAAGTCGATAATATAACTCAAACTCATGAGGTCAACAAAAGGCTCTAAAAGGTTCCTTAATATTTAGGATATTTGATTTGCAGCAAAATTCATCTAGGGGGATCTTTAGATATAGTGTTGTCTATAAAATCAAAGACAATCTCTTCAATTCTTTCTTATTATAGCCCGGACAACTTCTCTTATAGTTCTGAGCTTAGTCTACAACCCTAAGATTACTCAACCATTCTCTCCCAACCTTCAGTTTAAAATACCCTAACGCCTCTCGTTATTGGGTTTCACTAAGTCTCCATGCCACTTTTTCCTTAACCAATATAAGGGAAAGATGGAAAAAGGGAGAGAGCGAGAGGGTGAAAGGAAGAGCAAGAGACATCAAGTGGACATACTATGAAGAGGAGAAAGAATGAGAGAGAGAGAGAGAGAGAGAGAGCTAACAAAAAATAACTAAATGATTAAAAATGGGATAAAGTAACTTCTTACAACACCAAGGTTCAAGCAATTCAAACATCTGTAGTTCAAGGCTCCACCAAGCACTTATATCAAGAAAAAAATGTTATGCAAGAATCTTTTCTCCTTTTATCATTTTATCATAATAAATGTTAGAAATCAGGATAAATTACACTGAGGCCCTTGAAGCATTGAACAATACTCACACAAGCATTTTAAAATAAAAGCTTCCATTTTCATCCCTTAAGCCTTATAAGATTACAAATTGGACAGATAAAATATTAGTCTTCATCCGAGTTTTTTTTTCCTTTTTTTATAACATTGTTAATTTTTTGTTAATTATCGGTAGCAATATAATCAAAACGTTTTGAACACATTTTTCTCCTTATATAACATTTTCTTGTATTCCAAAATAAAAAAAGGATTTATTTTGAATCGTGCAACCATCAACCAAAGTTCCACGCCAGTCAACACACATCAATAATGGTGATTCACCACTCATGTGACTTCATCCATCCAACCATTCTCAATCGTGATATTGACATCCCTTGCCATCATTGGCATATGTACAGCCTATTTGATCGATGTCATTGCCACCCTTTACACCACCAGCTCCATCATTGAGACCAGCATTGATTTTTTCAACATTTCATCAACAAATAGGGTCGCCTCATCCATGGCATCAATGAAAAATAAAGGGAATCAATAAGAATACACCATATTCTGATTGGTTTCCTTGTTGCCTTTTATTCGTCTTTTTGGAACAACAAACAAAAGAGAAAAGAGAAATGATAAAATCATTATTATCAAATAAATGTCAAAAAAAGAATTTGGAGAAGAAAATCAGTTGAGCCCAACTTTTTTTGGCTGATTTTAGAAAAATACTCTTTAATCTACTTTGTTGTCCTTTCAAGGTTTTTGGAGCCCAATCTTTTGTCAACAAGATGGAAGAAGGGATGAGCAAATTTGTGATTTTATTTTTGTTTTTTGGAAAAGTATAAGTTTCGAATTGAACATAATAAGAGGAGCTCTTTCATTCCATCGTAGAGCACCCTTGATATATTATCAATGCCCTCAGATACACAAATTGTAGATATGATGAACTTAGATGGTTGTCACAATCTGGTAATTTAAATGCTTGTGATATATATTATATAACTAGAGCTACAAGATTGGGGGGAGACAAGGAAAATATAATGGCAGTTGTGATAAATTAATCTTAGTTAACAGTTTGCTAACCGAAGGACCATCATTGAAGGAAAAGAAAACCTTGCATGAAATGAAGGGTTTTATAAAATCTAAACCAACATGAAACATGCCCTATAATCCTTGCAAATGTATATAATGTACCCTATAAATAAATTGACATGACAATATAATATTCTTTTAAAAAATTGGGTAGCAAAATGAAGGGTTTTGGTAAATCAAGACCATAACTGCACTCTGGTGCAAGATTGTAGGACCAAATTTTAAAATATCCATAAATTAAACGTAAGATGTTTTATGAAAAAAATTATGGAAAAGAAAAACATACCTAGGGGTCATGGAGCCTAGCCACAAAATGATTGATTGTCACACTACATTGGGCTTAACTAAATAACAAGGTAAAATGGTTAAGTATAGAAGAGATAAAGTTCATATGATAGAAAATTTAACCCTGTAAGACCAAATTACCATCATCTAAACACAACTATGTCCTATTACAAATACATATAGAAAATTTAACCCTGTAAGACCAACTACCATTATCTAAACACAACTATGTCCTATTACAAATACATGGGGTGACTTTTATAAAGCTTTGCGAAAATCAAGACACCAAGTTCATTACAATAGATAGAATGTTAATGTGTGGAAAAAAGGGCTTAATATTACAAATAAAAGAAGCTATTTCCAGATATCACCATTAAGCAATATATCAGTAATTAATTTAACTATCAATAAAGTATCACCATATCATTTGAAGTCATAAAATACAAGCTATCTTAGAAAACGTAGTTTGGAAAATAAGATAAGGCATTATAATGAAAAATAGTAAGAAAAAAGGGCTAATTTGCAATAATTTTCATAAACTTGCATTTGAAGCTACAAAGATAATTTGCCGCGTATTATTATTTACTTGCTAGAAGATACGCATTTTACAATCCATTAAGACTACAAAAAATGTAAACCCCATCATGTAAAGCCATTAAGTTCAAAATATATCATGAAATATATGATTACAAAAAATAAATCTTTTCATTCATGGAAAATACGAATCATGTCCAAATCACACAAATTACTTCTATTTCTAATGTAAAAACATGAAATGCCAACCTCTGCTTCTACTTTAGCTTTCTCTTGACTCAATCTCTCGTCAATTAAAGCCTTCTCCTTCCTCTTAGCTTCTTCAAGCGTTGCATCATCTCTAATTCTTCTTTCTTCTATTTGTGATCTTTGTTCGTGATTTCTTTGCAAGATGGATAAGTGACTATCAAGTATTTCAGCTCTGCAACGAGAACAAAATGTTAATACATGTTCTTCAAATGTATGAAAAACTAAGCACAGAAAGCTAAAACAGTCTTATGACATGGAGAAGGTGCCTCCACCCAAACAAAAGAAATAAAAAAAAGATGACAAGATAGATAAACCATAAAACAAATGCTTAAGCAATAGCAATCAACTACCTATTTCATTGGCCAACATATAGGATGGTGTTTACAAGATAACGTGCACGTCCAGAAGTAGGAGGCATATGCATGTCTTATAAGGGGCACTACTGCCTAAAGAACTACAACATGAACCATATATACATTTCCAACATTTCACAATCATGAGGACGCTGATTTTGTTTTATCTCAACTATCAAAGAAAAGTGGCTCAATTATCCTGTCATCACATTAAACATTTTTATCGACATTATGAAGGGGTAATTTTTAAAACTATTTAATTAAATTTTCTCCCATCAAATCTTTACAACATATGACTGAGATCTCCTATATATTGGAAATATTGGATTGACATTCTCAAAGATATGATTAAATATTTTTGTAAGCTATGAGATATTTTGTTGACATCAAAATATCTTGTAATTTTTTTAATAAACCTATCTTTAAACTCATGTTTTGTTATCATTATAAATAGAACCTTAGAAAGTAAGGTTAGGCGCCATACAAGAACAAGCATATAAAGAGAAGAGACAAGTGAGATCGATTGTCAATCAAGAGAGAAGGGAAGATTTTGTTAGGTGTTTGCAAGATAGAGATATTTTGCATCTTTAAGAAGAAATAGAAGACGCTAGTTTCAATTACATAAAAAAGAGAAGCTTTCAGTCATAGCAAGAAGAAGCTTTGGCAATTTAAAAAAAAGGAAGAGCATAATAGCAGTAGAAATAATGTCTTATTCTCTATGTTCAATCCATGTCATTGTAATAGATGGTTCTGTTCCCTTTTAATAATTTACATAGAAAAATTGGTATATATATATATAGTTAAATTTAACTTATTACAAGGAGATACCTTGATTTACTCATCTTTAGAGGAATTTGAACCCTGTACAGGCATGGATGCAAGTGGAGCTCATTAACCTAAGCTTTTGTGTTATGTATATATGACCTCTTATGTGTTCATTATCTCTCTCTCTCTTTTTTTTAGAGTTTTATCAATATTCTAACAACTAATGTCAGAGCTTTAGTATAGAAAATCTAGGTGTCATTTCCTATCCATTGGGATGAATGTCGCCTTCAATGCTCTTCAATATGTAAGTAAAGACCTCCATAGTCAACCAATACATATAATGGACAAGTTATTCAACCTCAAGATTCCATACAAAGCTTAATGTCATCAATCACGCCAATGAGTTTAGTGCAATCACGAGCCAGTTGAACTCCATAAACATCCTCAAAAATAAGAGTCCATAATCAAAGCACTAATAAAAAAATCTCAAAATTGTCCGAGTGAAATCAGTTACTATGATAATCATAGCCACATAATGAAAAAATGCAGGAAGAAGCATGAAAAAGGTTCAAAGTCAAAGGAAGCCACAATATATATATCACCAAGGAAATCATTTAAGATGCACTAACTCAATGTAGATCCAATAGAAACATAAATATTAGAATCATAAGCCATTACGTTAATAATACCAAAAATTTTCAAAATGTAAGTTTAATATTATTGGCATAATTATTTCCTAAGTTACTCTATTTTATCATTCCTCCCTAAAACGTCAACTCTATATCAAATCTTAATTTTCATTTTTATTCATTCGATATATATAGCAGTATCGGCATATTAGTTTTTATCGGCGTATTAGTAAAACTAAAGTTAAAGAGGCTTTAAAGAAAATGAAATGTGAAAAAGTTGTTGGAGCCGATGATATTCCAATAGAGTTGTAGAAATGCTAAGGAGATGAAGGAATTTCTTGGCTTACTAAAGTTTTTAATATTATTTTGATGATTAAAAAGATGCCAGATGAGTGGAGAATAAGAGTGTTAATTCTTATTTTTAAGAATAAAGGTGCTGCACAAGATTATGCAAATTATAGAGGAATTAAGTTAATGTGTCATACTTTAAAGCTATGTGAGAGAGTTATGGAGCATAGGTTGTGGCGTGACACAAATGTTTTTCAAAATCAATTTGAATTCATGCCAAGTAGGTCTACTATGGCAGCTATACATTTATTGAGGGGTTTGATGGAGAAGCATAGAGAGAATAAGGAGGATATACGTATGATTTTTATTGATTTAGAAAAAGCGTAAGATAAAGTTCCAAGAGAAGTGCTATGGAGAGTTCAACATAGGAAAGGGTTTAATAATTCTTATATTCAAGTCATTAAGGATATGTATGCAAGAGTTGTTACTTGTATTCAAACACAAGCTGGTTTGACCAAGTATTTTCCTATTTTGGTTGGATTACATCAAGGATCGGCCTTAAGCCCATATCTTTTTTCTTTAGTGATAGATGTTCTCATTAAACATTTGCAAGAGGTTCTACTTTGGTGAATGCTTTTTGTTGATGATAATCTTCTTATTGATAAGACTATATTGGGAGTTGAAGGTAAACTTGAATTATGATATTCTTCTTGTTGATAATTATGAGTCTAATATTCTTTATAAATTGAGTACCTAAGTAGCAGCCATGCCCAAGAAATTGGATAATTTTAGAGTTAGTACGGCCTTAGGATCATCTATTCCTTTGGATGAAAATCTAATTAATTTTGGTAGTGATCTTAGTAATTAAGGGGTGGAGAATGTGAATTGGATTGAAAGACACAATAACCCCTATTCTAATACATACAAACCAAGTTGGAGGAACCATCCAAATTTCAGTAGGAGTAATAATAATGATGAAAATCAGTGGAATGCAAATCAGTCCAGCCCTATAGGACATTGGAACCCTCCTTAGAATCCTATAGTTAACCCTATACCTTTTATCCCCCAGGCTTTAATCAGAATAATCAATTCAAGGAAAAGAAGTCACCTTTAGAAGATTTAGGCTTCGTTTGGGACCACTTTTTTATTGCTTTCTAAAACAGAGTTTTAGTACAATTTTTTTATTTTTGTACTAAAACTCCGTTTTAGAAAGCAATAAAAAAGCTGTCCCAAACGAAGCCTTAATGCTTCAAATGGGGAATCAATTATAAAGTCAAGTTGCTGCCATTAGGAATTTGGTGAATCAATTAGGGCAGCTAGCAAATTCATTCAATAGTAGACCCCATGGCATCTTACCTAGTAATACCAAAATTAATCCCAAGGATAAAGGTAAGGAGCAAAAGAGTGATCATTAGAGAAATAGTGTTAATGAAACCTAGCCAAATTGAAAAATCTAAAGTCTAGCTGAAGTTTAAAAAACTTAGCGCTGCTTAAGAGGCCCAATTTTATTATGTGTTTGTTGTATTCGGTTAGCTTCTAGTACTCTTGTTATCTTGCAATGTCTATTATTTATTGTTACATTGTTATGCCATGTTTCTATTTGGTGTACCATTCCCTACATGATTAAATTTTTATTGCTCCTCTATTAATTTGAATGCATGTTGATATTCAACCAACTTGTATAAAATTTGCAACTAACAATTGCGATTAAAATGAGGAATAATTCAAAATTGGTGCTTAATTAGATAAATAAAATGGTAATGATTATAAATTAGAACAATCGTTACAACAAATAATTAAATCATTTAAGTTAAAACTCTAATCCTAATTCAAATACTACAACAAAAAAAGCACTACTACCAGTTGAAAAAATTATTGACTAAATTTAGAAAAATGTAATACTCAATTTGATCTATTAAATTATGTATAAACTAATGTATCACATTGGAGAGCATAAATTTAGAAAAACCTTACTTTCTAAAAAGTACCTAATACCTAAATCAAATAAGGAAAATGTAAGTAATCTAATACATATTAATATATATAGAAGAATTGAAAAATTAAATAAAAAATGAAATTTCCCAAATGAAAAATCACTCAATTCAGCTAAGTGGTCAACTCTTGCACTAACACCTGTAGAAGATGAAGTATAGAGTGGATATTAATTTAAGTGATTGATTGGGATGTTTTTTTAATGATTATTTTAATTAAAATTGCTAACCTTTGACTCATTATGGAAGCTATACATTTATTGAGAGGTTTGATGGAGAAGTATAGAGAGAATAAGGAGATCAACATATGATTTTTATTGATTTAGAGAGAGCATATGATAAAGTTTCAAGATAAGTGCTATGTAGAGTTCTACATAAGAAAGGGGTTAGTAATGCTTATATTCAAGTCTTTAAGGATATGTTTGCAGGAGCTATTACTTGTGTTCAAACACAAGGTGGTTTGACCAAGTATTATCCTATTTCAGTTGGATTATATCAAGAAACAGCCTTAAGCCCATATCTTTTTGCTTTAGTCATGGATGTTCTCACTAGACATTTGCAAAGGTTGTACCCTGGTGTATGCTTTTTGCTGATCATATTATTCTTGTTGATAAGACTAGACAGGTAGTTAAAGATAAATTTGAATTATGGAGGTCAACCTTAGAGTCTAAAGGCTTTCATTTGAGTAGATATAAAACTGAATATATTGAGTATAATTTTAGTAATAATAGATTTAGTGGGAGGATTGTGACTTTGGCGAACAAGTCATTAATAAGAGCACACGTTTTAGATATCTTGGGTCTATTGTTCAAACTGATGGTGAAATAGGTGGGGATATTATTAGTAGAATTCAACTTGGACAGTTGAAGTGGAGGAATGCATCGGGCTTGTTATGTGATAGAAATGTATCTCTCAAACTTAAGGTAAAATACTATAAGATGGTAGTGAGATATGCAATGCTTTATGGTGCAGAATGTTGACCATTAAAAGAGAAGCATAATATTAAGTTAAGTGTTGCAGAGATGAGGATGCTCAGGTGGACAGAATACGAAATGAGCATATACATGAAAAGGTTGGAGTAGCTCCAATAGAAGATAAAATTAGAAAGATTTGCCTTAGTTGTTCGCATAAAATGGCGGCCTTTTA